GGAATATGGATGGAAATGGAGCAGAGAATTTTATATATAAAGAACAGAGGAGAACTCAATTATTTGTTCTGCTCCACTAATCTTAAGAAGCAAGAACCACCCCATGGCCATCTACTTATTAATCTCGTTGAATTCTTAAAACTTGAAAAAACAACACGTGAAATTAATTCAAATCATTTGAGTGGAACAGAGAGAGAATCGCTTGGGTGTGAAGAATTTGTTGCAATGAGGCCACATTCGCTATTGGTGTGTGTGTGTGTGTGTGTATATATATATATATTTGTAGAGAATTAATAGGCTAGTTCTAGAGTGGCTTTCAAGTTACCAACTTTATTTTTCGTTTGGTTTATAAAATTCTAAATCAAACAAAAGGGATTCAACTCAGGACGGTATTAAATTAATAACCAAACAAATTAAGTCCCTACCATTTTATAAATTTACTGCATAAAAAAGTTTAATATTGATTGGGTTGAATTACATGTGTTTATAAAATTAAAATATCTCTCTACCAAATTTTGGTGGCCCCCAATTCACATAAAAACAAACAAAGTATCTGAATTTTATTTTTAAAGAGATGTGTATGATTAACTTGTCCGATGCACTTCGGATTTTGTAATATTATTCCTTAATTAAACATGGTTTATTGTTATTAATTTCTAGGATAAGAGGCTTCTCTGAAACTACAAACCTATACCCAACAACACAACATTTATCCTCAATATTATCAAAATGGTTTTAGCGTTGAAATTAGCAGACACTCTTATTCAATTGTATTTTTATATTATTTGATTTGCTCAAAAACTATATGCAACGTGTATTAGTTGGGGGAGATTAAAATTGGCCCAACCCTTAATTAATTTTTGTTAGGTGGCGATTAGACTGCTAATCAAAGGCTCAATGTATTCGACTTTACATTAGAAAAAATAAATTATGGGTTTTCTTTTTTCTTTTTTAAATAATGAATGTTTCTTTTTCTTCTTGGCTTTAATCATATTTTTTCATTTGGTTAACCTTTTTCTCTCTCTTTCCGGGAAGAATGAAGATGGCTTTTTGCTGTAATGGAGAAGGTTTTGTTAAGTTGACGCGGTAGTCAAACTCTTTATGTTTCTTATTTACGTAATTAATAATTAATAATTTTAGAATTAGAAGGAAGTTTCTGACTATAATTATGTAAAACTTCTATAACCATTGACAAATCTTACACAATTTATAACTTGGGAGTGCACCAGTTTGAAATTTTTGTCGTTGACAAAGTTATCATCTCTCTACTGTTTTTCAACCTTTACTTTAAATTAAATTACACTATTCTATTTAAAAATCATATTTCTTTTAAGTATTTTCCATAAAGGGTAGGTAAAAAAAGTTACTATTAATGTGGTCTTTATTTTATAATAAAATATATTAAAACAAGGTTAACGATGACCCCACATAATTAAGATGAGATATTTCATACCTATCATTAATTAAAGGGGTTCAACATCAAATAATGAGCTAATCTGAACATAGCTCAACTGGTTTAGGCACTTATTTTCGACCAAAAAGGTCGTGAGTTTAAGTTCCTACCCCAACATATTCTACTAAAAAAATGAGCTAGAAGATAATCACTTGAATCTAGGAAAGACTAAGAAATGAGGGAAATGAAGGCTAAAAATTGGAGAAAAAAACATTGGTAACAAATTTTAGAAGATTTTTTGTTGGGTTTGTAAATGAGTGTAAACAAAGTCCCACATGAGAAAATGAGTGATCCATGGTATTAAGAGAGGACAAGATATGAGACATTTAATTTTTTGTGAAGTCAAAAGTAAAGTCGATACTTAAATACAAGAGACGCGGTTGTCCTTGACACTTTTTTAAGTGAACTTTGGTCTCTACACAATTCTTTTCTAATTCATCCTTTTTCATCATTCGACTAGAGTTAATATGGGTCACGAACTAAAAAAAAATGTTAAAATCCCAAAAGAATAAATTTTGTCTTACGTAAAGTTGTCAGAGTACGCTTAATCTTTTGAGTAAAAAAAAAAGAATGTTAACTTTAGCGCTCAAAATACTAAAATTCATAACTTATCACTCGATGAGAGGCGAGAAGTTTCATTTTCCATCTCACCATCTCAATTGAATATAGATATATTGTTGGTTGAAATTAATTAAACGAATAAGAACACAATTATGTAGCTAAAAATGATTGCTAGTGATTGGGACATTAAGATGTAAAAAAATTAGCTCGAAAATCATTAAATTTAAAGAATTGAGAGAAGGACCAATCCTCTATTTTTTTTTTTTACTTCCAACCTTAAAGAACAAATAAATGATTTTTACCGTTGGTTGGCGAGACATTCATGCATTTACTTTTTATTATTAATATTATTAGTGTTAAATGTTATGATTTATTTAGTCTATCAATATATTATTTATAAGCCATTTTGGCTCTTTTCACTAAACTCTTAAAAAGGATATCACTATCATCTTGGTCTTCCATCACTTGTACTATCTATCACTGTCATATCATTTCTCCCTCCATCCCCTCGAGACCAACTTCAATTTTTTTCCTTCTAAAAAATATATTTAATTTGAAAAGTAAGCGATAATCGTAACGTCTTCTTCATTTATATGTATAAGATAATGAAAACTAAGTGCTTACCACACCCTGCTATATTTAATTAGTGAAAATAGTGAAAATATTGACGATGACAAAGGGGTTGTCATTATCTTTGTTAAATTTTTGGGTAAATGAATTATAGCTAAATTAAGTAAAAGTGTGAAAGAAAAAAAAAAAGTGGCAATCAGGGCAAGTGAAAACTTGGCTTTTTGTTGGAGTAAATTAATGAATTTGCGGCAATCCGGGCCTTAGCTTGTACCAAAACTGTCGCAATGATATCTATCACTTTTTGTT